TCAAGTGCAGATATTGTGGATTGCCATAACACTATCACCTTCCAAGTGCAAATTAGCACTGAGATTTCTGGGTTGATCAGTCGTTGTGAGTATGGAATTTTGATTCTATGTTCTTCTATGATTACCAGGCTTTGGAAGGATGTAATCTATGATATATACAGGTGGTGATCATAGCATGATAGCAATCAAATTCCACAGTGTTGGTAGGAATAAATTTCACAGGTTGTTTGTTGTTGAATCCATTGTATTGTATATTGATTATTTGATTGAATGGTTGGGAGCAGGGTCAGTTTGCAAGACGGTGGCATGCGCGAAGGGTGGCATGCGCGAAGGGATCCGCATGCCGGCGAAGGGGTTATCGGTGTTCAGGTGCGACATTGTAGCAGACGCACGTCGGTGACGTCGACAGCTGACTGCACTGAGTCACCCCGAAGCGTAAGGTTTCATATACCGCTCCTTCTCAAATGGATTGAAATATGAACTATGAATATTATCTCAAAAAGGCATCAATGTTTGGGATCCATAAAATACCCAAGTAGTATATAAATTATTTAATAAGGGTAAGAGAGCATAGTAAGGTAATTGTGGTAAATGTATGACAGATGATCCATATATGTCGTGGTTGGTAGCAGTGGACGATCTTTAATGTTGTTCAGTTCGGAGTTGATCAAAATTCCGGCTAAGTCCTGTCGAAATGTTTTTACTTCCTTCTGCATAATGTAAAGGGAGTGCATTTTAAATGGTTTTTCGTATTAGGAAGCAGTGGTGCAAAATATGAATAGAGGTTGTTGTAGTTACCTGTAGTTGAATTTTTAGGAGATAAGATCCAGTCCAATGCTCCATGAACTTAAGGGTGTACAGGCCGCATGAGACGCTACAAGAATTTAGTCGTTAGGATAACACGTTTCCGTATTTGAATAATGTGAATATCATGTGGAAGAGTTTGAGTCACCCACCCGTCTCCTTGCTTTGGCAATTTTTGGACTTTGTTGTACTCCCATTCGGTAATATTGAAATCAGGCCAATCGTGTTTTAACTGTGGGTGCTGATTCTCTGTCCCGTATAATCCCCTCTCGATAGCTAGCAGCTGGGAAGTTTTGTGCAACGTTGGTACGGTTAAAATATAGCAAAACCGATTTGAATTATACAAGTGGAAGTGTATCGCTTACCACACGCCTTAGATCGGGTCGATCTTTACTGATTGGCTTTGCGAGCGAATCTAGTATTTGCACCTCACGTCGCTTGGCGTTAAGAACGGCTAGGTACCAGTGTGTATCTTTAATATTAATTGGGAGGAAAATCTGCAGATGTTCAACAGTAAGATTGAGTCATAAATTGAATTACCCATTACATAGATAGCTTAAATAAGTATTACCATGTCAAATGGTAGATAGTCGCATGCCATATCTCTAATCCATCGTTTATCTCGAGGTTCGCTTGCTTCGACATGCGCTCCCTCTACATTTAGTAGACCTGTTTTAATGGCCATCTCTAGGAAGGCCTTGCCATCTCCCCTGATTCCTTTCTCTTTATAGCGGAGGCATTGGATGTATGCATCCATGACCTGAATTTGAGTTTAGTTGAGTTACATAACAAATATAGTTATAAAAGAATAGTAGGCTTGTTAAATAGGCGAACTTACATCATCATTCAAGAAAGCTGGTTGTGTTAGTACTTTCATTTTTTTCCGTTTAACCTCCACTTCTTCAATATGCACCATCACTTTGTTATCGTCGGTGTTATTAATGTAGGTAATGAAAGGGTCTTCTTTTTTAGTCAACTCTACATAGGTACGACAAATTAGTAATAGATCTATATAAATGTTAAATGGTTAGGCATTACCTTCTGAATTTTTTAACGGTGTCTGGCCATTCGTTTTTGTCTTATTTTGACCTCTTAAGGCGTTCTTCGGTGGGCCTTTGTCTATGATTTGTTGGGTAAGATCTTCCTTCTCGATGTACACTAGAAAAGGGTAAGTCAAATCAGTAACACAGAAACATAGAATATAAGTTAAAATTTATGGATGATGTAGAGAGTTCATACATTCAGATATTTCATACGGTGTTTGGTTGTTTTGTTTCCTCTTTTTTTCACACCGTAGTTCGTCTGTGTCTGGCATGTAAGCTTCTTTATTCGTTTGCGCTTGAAAAGGAGGAAAGTTAGTACCATTGACATGAGCATATGTAAATATGAAATAGCATAGTACCTATCGTTTTCTTTGTCTGTGCTTGGGTTCTTATTATGTCCTTCTTTTTACCCCTTGTTTCGTAGATGAAGTCAGTCCAATTAGTTGGTTTGTATGTTCTTCCTGTAGGACCTGTAAGCCTCTTCCTGCTTTGATTGCTCTGGTTACTGTTGTCCTGTTAGGTAAGAAAGTACACGTCAGTATTATGATAAGATGTAGTAACGTTAGCGAGAGAAATAAAATTTAGTTTACCTTCGTTTCACAAGTCATGTTTACATTTTGGTTTATATAGGACTCTTCGTTATGATTTGATACATGCTCCCTGGGATCATTTTGTTCTTGTTCAACATCCTGCAATAGCGTCAATCTTTTTTTAGCGGTGTATATATGTAAGTAATAATGATTAACAGTCTAGCATATGATGTTTACCTCAAACACATGCGTACTATCTTTTCGCTTTGGGCATTTTGAATCATTTTCCATGCAATCTAGTATCAATGATCGCATACGTGGCCAAAAATCCTTTGTGAAATCTTTGAAATTATCTTGTAAAGTTTGGATGCTTTCTTGTAACCTTTCTTGTAAAGTGATGTCGGCTGATGGTTCAGTGGATGTTATAGAGTGTATCTGAATAGCACAAGTTAGAAAAGGATGTCAAACATATTTTGTTAAATAGAGTTCGTATTAAAACCCCATAATATATACCTCTTCAGAAGTGCCTTGAAAATCTTCATTGCTATGTGTTTCTGAGTCATTGTCGTGCGCTTTTTCATTGGGGATTTCATTGCAATGTATAGTTCCCCTAATATCGTCGACAACCTATTTTTAGTGAAAAAGGGGTATTAGAGATTTTACAGACAGTTGATATAATTAGTACATAGTATTAAAAATGAGATAGTTACCTTCCCTTGTCCAAAAAGGTAAGAAATTCGCTTTTTTTCTTTTTTTTTATCCCAGTACTGAATTAGTGGCCTTTGACGGCTAGAATGATATATTGTCGCAGCCAATTTATCTATTCGCACTTTTTCCCAATACCAAATCTGCAAGCATTTGAACATTAGATAATGAGTATTGCTATGAAAATATGTTCATGACAATTTTGTAAACATACTAAATTTTGAAACGAACCTGTAAGAGGCATACGTTCCCCTCAATGTTTGTTGTCTTCTCTCTAAATTTTATTATGCCTTTCAGTAACTGATTCAGTGTTAGACTAGACCAGTTTAGTTCCCTCATTTTGTCAACGTCGTCGACGAGATTGAGATATTCTGAGCGCACATATCTTTGAGTTGTAGGACATATGAATGATCCAATTGAGAAAAGAATAAATCTTCGAATGAAGTGGTCATCGTAGCTCGAGGAGTTGATTATTGCTTCCCGTAATGCTTGTAAAGTAATTGTTGTTTGGCCTTCCTTTTTGTACAGGTTGAACAATTCTGGTTTATTGATTTTTGGTGCCTCAAATATGTCATCTCCTTTTGATGGCAGTCCAAGCAAACAATCAACATCATCGAGTGTCATCGTTACGAAGGTACCATTAATATTGAATGCTTTCTTCTCCTTGTCATAGCTTCTTGCAATCTCATTGCACAAGTTTCGGTCAATATGTATGTTGTCAATCTTTAGCAAGTTGCCAAGACCTGAACCCTCGATAGCTTCCTTTTGACGTGGACTTAGATGGAGTATTACCTCGTACATGGCATGTGGAGAGCAAACTAGAGTTCCCTGATTAACAGAAAAGATAATAAAAGTTTAGTCCTTGTGAAAATTTATGCAAGTGCTCATATATACAGCAGCCATAAATCCTAATGGTGCACTGTATTGCACATCATAAGGTACTAATCCATATTAATTTTCTTAACATGAGAACCAATGTGATTGAAGTGAACACCTTATTACCATTTGGGGTCATATAAATCATAATGTACTATATTCTTGCTGATGTGATAATTATGCAAGCATATTTTTTTTTGTACTATATCTTTCTTAGTGGGGGTGGGGTGGGGGTTTGGCTCGACAGGGATTTCTGAACATATAGGATGAAGGTGTTAGTCAATATAAGAGTGCGTAATTGGAGACAAAGCATTAATTGGTTCACGGGAAAATCAGGGTTAAGGTTGTAAATGTATTTCATATTTATCTCTGCAAGATTAATAACAGATTTTATATACTAAAGTACAGTTGCAAAATGGGTATAATCATAGTATACTTCTGTCCTGTTTTTGCAGTTCCCTCTAGTATGTATGTGTGGAACAATACGAAGAATGGTAGCTGAATCCAAGGATCCAGATCTCTCAAAGTTGGAGCTTGTACATGTACCAGGGGGAGCTTTAGCATTTCAACTTGCTGCCAAGTTCTGTTATGGGAGCTTTAGCATTACTAAAAAATTGATTCTATATACGCTCTGTTAGGTGGGAAAATCAGCTATATGTTGGGTAACAAAAGTGTATGGTGCTGCAGTATGAGTTAAACCTGACCCCTTTAAACTGTTGCCTGTATTATCCCATGTAGCAGGCCCATATTTCTTGGGACATCTCGCCATGGTGTTTTGTCTGTGAGGCTGCTACGTCCTCTATATCCATTTTTTAATCATAAACTAGTCAATTATATAACATTGCAAATCCATGTCTAGCACCTCTGTGTTGTATCCACCATATTAGCCGGAAGCTATAATGACGTACTGACAATATGAAGCAAATGATTGTGATTGTTTTTTTAGTACGTGATTTTGTATACGGGAATAAATGAATGTTTGTTTTCTGGTTTTGTGCATGAATAATAAATTAATGTTTTTATTTGTTCAGGTCTCTGGATTGCAAACACAGATTTTGCTTTCACTGGGGGACCTTTCGAGCCAAATTTGTGAAACGCAAAAGATGTTGATAAAGATGGCCCATGATAACACTGAATTTCAGGAAAATATGAATGATAGAATGACAAACGTTGAACACATTCAACAGCTACAATTACAGCAAGTCACGGTACATTTTCTGAACATTTATGTTTGTTTTTTCCACATGGCAAAATGCTTTGACACATATCTTTCTTTTGTGCAGGATATAACGCATGGAGAACAACATTTTCCAAGGAAAAGATACATCGAGGTCGAGTATCCTAGCACTATAGGAAAGAGGGTTCGAGGAGTCAATGGTAGGGCCGTTGTAAGTAACAAGAAATTTGATTGTTACAAAAGATGCTTGGTAGACGGTAATGATGACTTCGATTTTGTTTGCACTACGGACGAAACACGCATTGCGTTGCGTATATTGTGTGCAAAGCCTACTGAGACGATAATCCATATTGATGACGTCGTTTTGACGAAGGCCGATTTGGTATGTCTTGTACAGACTTATCCGTATGACAATTATGAAAAAAACATTAGCACAAAGGTACGCCTATGCACTATTTTTGCAAAAAGTAAAGCAAAATCATCTCTAAGTAATGCTTCATAAATTGTATTGTTGATGCAGATCATTAAGGCGTTTGTCAAGCATTTTGGACAAAGTAGATCAATTAAACGACATAAACATATGTACCATGCCTACTTAGAGACCCCGTCAGTTGTGTCAATGCTTATCAAGTATGGCTATTATGATGGTGTTGAGCTAGGAAACACTGATGAAAATATGTACAAATCCGCTGGAGTCAGCTATGTGAATAATGATATGGTAAAATCATACCTTACAAATTTGAATTCATTATATTATTTAACTATTTTGTAAATTGTATTGATTTGACATACAGATTTTTCTACCAATAAGAACTTCAATAGACCATTGGTACGTAGCGGTTCTGGACTGTACCAGAAAGGAGGTGTGTGTCCTTGACTCAATGGACACGACTGAAGATGACTTGAAAGAACTTAAGTTTCTGGTACTTTTTCCCCATAAAGTGTTAGCATTATCAGTGCAACCAAGTTTGTAGAATATTAATTATCACATATTTATTTCATGTAGATGAAAGGCATCCGCAAATGTGTCCGACTTGTCCTCGATGATAAAATAGTAGAGAACCCTCTGTGGGACGATTACAATGTTCAAGCTTGGAAAATCAGGATTAGATATAACTTGCCTAACAAAAAAGACAGGTTAGATATTTACAACCCTGAGAGATGACTTTGTAAAAAAATTTATTTCGGAATAATTTTACATCTACTCGTACTCGTACAGGACATCCAGTGGGCTTTACTCAATCAAGTTCATGGAGTTATGGACAGGAGATTCACTAAGCAAACAATTTTATCAGGTATATATGTTGTACAATTAGCACGGAAGCATTCCTATTTATTTCATTTAAAACTAATAATATTGTTGTCAATTACACAGGAAGACATAGACAGCTACAGGAGAAAACTTGCAGCAATCTTGTACATGTCTCCGTCAAACAAGCTTCGAAACAATATCTGTTCTACCTCAAACGGAAATGGTACTGATGGAGGAACTAGGGCGGCAGACGTATGATTGAATAAGAGTTCTTTACGGTTTTGATAATTTCAGCTCAATGAAGACATATTGAACATGTCAGAAATTCATGGTGACTAATAATAACTGAGGCATTGTGTTCGATTAATTATTGTCATATACAGCTACAATTTTTTCCCTGAAATTAATTGCACTGTTTTGGCTTGGTGCTGTTCAAGACGAACTGTATTTACTGCACCGATGCCTTTTGATTATTTTCAGCAGTACAGTTTTCTATTTCCTACAACACATAGTTGGTATATCTATAGACAAAATTAACATGAACACCATATAACAGCTTAAACCATCACGTAGGCTAAATATAAATCACATAGTGCATATCATAATTCATCAATTAATTTAGCTTGTTTTCTTCACATCCTTTTCAAGAGGGTATAAGTCATTTAATGACATGTAAGTACGTAATATACTTAGGAAGTGCAATATTTATACATGTCATTGTCAGACAATCATATCTCAACAATCCATTTTGAGATGCTGAAACCAACGCAACCAAACTGAAGTACTGAACATCGCATGAGCTGAACACGCAAACTTGTGATGAAGTCATGAGCATGAACTCTAAAACACAGTTCAGTTGAACAGGCCGGCCAATGACAATCGCATCAGCTACTGACTTTGGAGATGCTGTGCAGCGATGGGCGCCATTGACGATGCCGGGAGTGTGTCGCCGAGCTGCTCCGTTGGCCGTCTATATCATGCTGCGCAAACCGCGATAGGATGGGCAGCAGAAGAGTAATCAGAATTCAGAACATGGCACTTTGTCAAAATTTAATAAAGTTTAGGAGACTTTGCAATCAAATCAAATTAAAGATAAACCTAAATTATGAAGGCTAAGGTGTTCAATACTGGAATGTCAAGCTAATGAGATTAGATCTTGCCAAATTACATGCTATTCCTGACAGGGAAATGTAGATGGCTAGAAGATGAATAATGGTCTTTTGCAGGAACTGAAAATCCCTTTCTTGTCGCAACAAGACATTTGATGTTTATTATTATCACCCATAAACTGTTTCAAGAATTGTCGGTGATTTTTTTAAAATTTAATTCGTCTGAAGTTTTGGAACTGACAACTAGGTTCGAGGCCTTAGTGGAGCACTTCACTTTTCTGAGGCATTCATAGTTCATACAACATGTGGACACTCTGTTCATGTAATCTTGGATATTTAGGAACATGACAGTACTATTACTTCAATCTGAAAAGTTGATGTGACAGAAAAAATAAATAAAACCAAGATGTTGACACACCATAAAGTAAGCCTATAAATCCAAACTTATCACTGCTCACAAGTTTGTATGATTGCAAAGCCTTACTACTGCCATAGGCTCACATTGGAGGAAGTAGTTAGCAGATCGTTCTATAATCATCACAGGAAAAAGGTTTCCTGACCAAACTACTAGTGATTAAAAAGCTTCCCAAGTCCAGCAGCCATATGCAGTTGTATTGTACCTTATAACTTACAAGATCTGATTAAAAACTGCTGCAATGTTTCTGCACATATGGAAACGCACGCCTAACTTTCAGAAGAGATTTTACCTGATGCACACAGCAAAATGATCTGTTCCCATGCATGCAGTCTTGATGGCTATAGAAAAGGAGTCTGTTCTTCACCTATTGCTAAGATTGGAGCCACTGAACTGGTAGAAATAGGAAACAGTCAGCAAACGAAATTGAAATGGATTCAGAGGAGGGTGTAACTAGAAGAATACCCCCCCCTCCCCAAACAAAAAAAGTTTTCAGTATTAATGGCACAAGTAATCTTGTGTTCTTGCCATGATCTGTCTCCTGATTACAAGTCTCTTGTCTGAACCTGAATTGTTACCCCAGACTATGTTCAACTAAGACTACGTACAAGTATATCCTTCCCAATAAAGAAATTCTCCATATATCATTTTAAAACTATTTCGAATTTCCATTCCATGGAATTCAACCAGGAACAGTAACATTTGATTGAACAATAACTGTCTAATAAAGTTTAGTTCACAGCATTTCTAATCCAAAAGCATTCACCAGCGGAAACACTTAATATGCACATCTTGAGAAAAGATTAAACTAATCCAAAACAAAAACAATGCCAATAATACAAAATATACAAAGTTTGTGAGACACAATTACCTTATTGGTTATTTGTGTGCAATGTCTCATGGAATGGCCTTCGTCTCTTCGATGGAGCTCCTTTTGCCCTAATCTCTTCAGGATCAAGTACTCTCTTCTCTAATGGCTGGTTACTAGACAAAAAGTGAGTTGGCATAGGACCAAAATCTCCGGCCACGATGTTCTCATCGGATGACGATCCTTTATCCAAAATCCCCTTTAAGAAATCCATCGCCTTTTCTGTCTGCTCAGGGTTCCTAGCGGCCTCGAAGAAAGCATCACTACCTAGATTTCGGAGGCTACGGTACCGAACCATGTGTTCAGACCACACATTAGGATCGGCATTCCTGTCTGACCTAAATGCCGCCTTTGCTCCCATTGTCCACCTATCCACGACACAACAACGAGGGATGGTGTCAAAACCAAGGAACTTGACTACAACAAAAATGTGTGAGCAAGGGATGTCTTCGCACTCCATCTTCCGACAGTGACATTCCACACCTTCCAAAGCCTGGCCTTTAAAAGAAACCCTCACTTCATCCCACACCTCATTATCGTCCTTCAAACCAACAACATACAATGACGAACCATCTTGATTAGTCCCACTGATGACTTCAAGTCCTGCAATTAGCCGTATCTGTGCACGGACTTTCTTGAACACGACTGCGGTGTATATACGGGCAGCGTCTTTCTCCAATGGGTCGGCGTCTATTCTACAAAAAGGGACCGAATTGGTAGACTTAGCGTCCAACTGAGCCTCCTTCTTACGCAGGCCTTGTATGCACAACTTAACATGTTTGACTAAGCACATTAGTGACATGTTTCTCTTTAGAAGGGTGTGAAGCTTTGAGTTCAGTGACTCACTACGTTGGTTGCTGCGCATACCCAACAAGTATTTCCCATCTGTATAGGCAGCTGCCCATTTCTCCCTTAGTCGGTACATCAGAGCGATCCATTGTTCATTTCCCGTGCCTCCATTCTCCTTAAAATCAGCCCAACGTCTCTCGAACTCCTCTTCATCCATACTCTCATAAATTAATTTTCTTAGCTCGTCGAGTTTTGGCTTACGAAGGTGACGACTCATATTCTCCTCTATATGCCAAGTACACAATCTATGGTAAGCACCCGGCATTACCTTACTGATAGCCTTCGCCATTGCTAGGTCGCCATCGGTAATTAATGATTTTGGATGCACTTGACGCATTGCCTCCAAAAAAGTCTCAAGGAGCCAACAGTAAGAGTTGACAGACTCATTTGATAGAATTCCGCACCCAAAAATTGTTGTACTTCTGTGGTGGTTAACTCCTATGAAAGGAATGAAAGGAAGATTGTACTTGTTCACACGGTAAGTGCTATCGAAAATAACAACACCACCAAAAGCAGCATAGTCTAAACGTGATTCAGCATCTGCCCAAAACACATTCCTAAGACGCCCTTCCTCATCCGTGGTGTATTTGAAGAAAAATTCTGCATCTTCTTCTTGCTTCCTTGTTAGATATTTCAACACATCTTCAGCATCATGACCCTTGATATTCTTCATCTCGTACCGCGTAAAGAAATTATAAAGGTCCTTCATCACAAAACCAACCTCGTCTAACTCATCGTGGTTATTCTCCATAACCTCCATGACTTGAAAGGGCCTAAGGCCACTCATGCGAAGCTCGACCGCTTGGGCTTTCTTAGAATCACTCATCACACGATGAACTCCTAAAAAAGCAACATGGTCTGGATTTGCAAGTTCGTGCGTATGTTGGTTATCAAACTCCTTAACAAACCACACCCCCTTCTCCTCGTTCCGCTCAATCTCAAGCTTAGCTAAGCAACCGCAGTGGGTCAGTGCCCGTGGCTCCCTTTTCCGCTCTGTCCTCTCAAAGTGCTTCAACTCCCTGTACCCTTCACATGAGCATACGAATTGCCTCCATATAATTTCACCGTCCTTCCGTTTAAGGTTGTTTTTCCTCACACTGAAACCCTTCCCCTTTGCATAGTCTAAATAGAATTTGTAACCTTCCTCCTCGCTTGAAAAAACCACAGTACCCATCATTTTATACTCTTCCTGATCCTCTAGGCTCACATAGCTCGAAGTCATTATGTCAGACCTCACCTACGGAAAAGTACAAAAAAAACAAACAGATCAAGCACCCAAATATAAGCTTACGTCCTTTATACCTCATAAGTATATATAAAAAAAGAACAACCATCAACTGCATAAATACATTGCCACTCTAAACTATTGAGCAATTACTACAGTTCCTCCACAATGGCTGCAAATTTTGTATGTACGATAAATTGTTATACTAAAATACATTTTCTGAAAATGGTTGTTCAGAGATAATTTTTCTTTTTTCATTTCAGCTGTACAGTCAAATTTTGTGTTGCACATCATCCAGTAGTTTCAGAACTCTGTTTCTTTTTTCAGCACCACTGGAGAATATATGCATTTGTGTATTTCACAATGACTTCGGTTACATGCTCCTCTCTGATAATTCTACCATTGTCGAAACCCTTAAAAAAGGAAGATCCGAAACGGAGCCAGGTCATTGCAGCTTATTAAGACCTATTTGTAGTCAGATCGTTGCCACAATTCCTGAATCTCTTTTGCAGGTCATGTGGATTCCTATGGACATAATCAAGTTAGCTGACAAACTAGCAAAATAAGCCAAGTCCAATGTTAATGCAGCCCCTGTCTATTTTTGTCAAAATATATCGCATTTGTCTTATCCTACCAGAAGATGTCATGCTAAATCATATCTAAATATCAATGGTCAGTTCGCTAGGGCAGCAAGCCATACATGCACAGCAAAATCAATTTAATATTGTTCATATTTCTTTCAAAAAACTATTGTTCTTCAGTTTCATCGTTCATACTTGGGGGACGGTATCCACACCTGCGATGCGAACCGAAGATGCGAACCAATGCGATACGGACGGCGACGGAGGCGGGCAAGGCGGCGAGGTTGGGGGAGGAATTGGGGGACGGTATCCACACCTGCGATGCGAACCGAAGATGCGAACCAATGCGAACAGAATAAAACATCCCATACCAAAATTACCCCTAAAGGATATTAGAAGATTACTTACCTGCCCTTTAAAATAAAGGGTCCAGATTAATTCTACTCGAAGTAGAATACTTCAAGTATATTGCACCGGAGCGTCGCCCTAAATTCAAACCAGATGATAGCAGTGACACCGACGAGGGCAGCGGACTGATCTGAGAAGACTCTCAAACAGGAGATTTAGAGTGGTCCTGCAAATGTCCCACTCTCCCTCTGTTCATTCCACTTCTCAACCTGAGACAGGAAAAGCTAATGATGACCAAGAAAAAAACTAAAGTGTGGTTCTTTTAACAGCTAAATTTCCTAGTCATGCACAACAGTAATAACTTGTAAAACACACACACACACACACAGAGGGCGAGCCAATGCGGTACAGTTAAGAACTAACACACATAACAGTCGTTGACAAACTGAGTAAATCTCCACCGTATTCTATAGTTCGTTTATCAGATAAATAATTTTGCACAAGCCACATCGTTCACAAGAATCAGGTCATCTTTATTGAATCCTAATGATTCAACATTGGCAGATATGTTTTTCACTCAAAGATGCATTTTGCACTTGCTACTCTGTAGGACATGTTAACATCACCACTGAAGCATCAAACTGACAGAAACGAATCAAATATCAATGTGTATAACCAAATATACCGAAGGGAATGTGCTGTTTTCTACTTCTGACCAGTGATGTGATATGAAAACATCGATGGGAAACAACTAATTTTATGGACTGGTATTTACAAAAACAATAGCTTTTAAAATCCAGAAGAAAATTTTCAGATTTAGATTCAGCAATTCAGGTAACACATTAGTCCCATTTCGGCAAGTTCAACTGCTATTGAACTGAAAAACAAGATTGCCACTACCTGATGATTTCGCCGCACCCAGCCACTACCAGCGCCGCAGGCCACGCCGCCGCCTGCGTCGAACAGACGCGACGCACCGCGCCACCAGCCGCGACGCCGCCTGCCAGGAGGAATAGCCGCCGGGCGCGCTGCCGCCTGCCGGTGCCTGCCTCCGACCAGATGCGAACCGAAGGGGGAGGGGGAGATGGCCGGGCCGACGGACGGCGCCGGAGGGACTGGAGACAGCGGTGAGGGCGGGAAGGGCGGGGGAGGCGGACTGCGACGGAGGGGGCGGAGAAGGCGACGCGGGCGGAGGAGAGGGACGGCGACTGAGGAGGCGGACAAGGCGGCGACGGCGAGCGATACGGACGGATGCGGGCAAGGCGGTGACGCCGGGGAAGGAATAGCGCGACGGAGTCCACACCTACGATGTGAACCGATGCGAACCGAAGATGCGCACCGAACAAAACACCCCTTACCAAAATTACCCCTAAAGGATATTAGAAGATTACTTACCTACCCTTTAAAATAAACGGTCCAGATTAATTCTACTCGGAGTATAATACTTCAAGTATATTGCACCGGAGCATCAGTCTTAATCCAATGGTTCTATATCTATTTTTACTTCCACCAGTAAAATGAGCATTACTCTCTATAAAAAGTAAAAATTAGGAGTACAAAAAATAAAGAGGAATGACTATGTGTCAGGTGTTCGAGAGTAACCAAACTCGGTCCTCGCTTTTTTGGACTGTTTGATCCAAAATCAGAGACTCAGATAAAAAAAAAATCTCAAATCTAATCCAAGAGTGCACGACAATGACCAAGACTTAAGAAAAACTCAATTGCCTGGCAAATAGCAACGCCATAAACAGGAACCTAGAAATTTTATTTGTGATGGGTGATTCGATGGAATAGTGAGCAAGATGCACCGTGAGAAGACAACGGCGGGACTGAAAAGAGGAAGCCTAGGTTGAAAGAACTCTACGTCGATTCACCGTCAAATAGCACTCACTTTTGTGCCTCTGCCATATACAGTTTTCCATGACAATGCAATTGACAATTGTTTCTCTGGCACAGTATCGCCGTTGTTGCCCAAGTAGAAACCCAACGTAACCTTCCTTCTTCATCACTGGTCATAAATTTCAGGGCAACAATACGATACATACGATTCGATTTTAATTTAGTTACACTTTGATCAAATGAACTTGTTTGTCGATGAAGAAGACAGGGAGGCCAGCTGCCAGCGTGGTTGATCGGCATCCATATCACCGGGCCGGAATTTGATTGCATTCTAGGGGGGGCGTGGTTGCCGGCAACTGCACGGTCGAGGCACCTTCATTCACCATGATCGTCTTGGTGCTAACCTTCGCAACGAGGCCAACAGAACCTAGCAGCAGAATGTAGAGCCAGAATAATCCCAATACATAATCTGTCAGCCATTTTAGCCTTCTCTAATACAAGCGCACGGTCGAGGACACCAGCACACTTTACGAAGATCAACTAACAAATTTAGCTCACACGACTGTTCTGCAACTAATATTAAGGAATACCATCAGAGGGTGTGAGAATAACTACGTACAGGTTCCGTTTTGCCTTCCATTCCCATTACATTGTTCTGTAAGGAGAGAAACAATCTGATCACACTCTCTTTGTGTGTTGGGTGGGTGTATCATGGAGTGAGATGTTGTGGTGGTACATATTGACATGAACAAAAGGTACTCCACATTTATAAGCAACATAGTTCGTACAATGTGTACACATGTGTGCAGTATAACTTTCTATTAACTTCATTTTTTCCTTCATAACACAGGTTTAATGATTAAAAAAATTATAGGACACAAAAAGAATTGCAAACTCGTGCAGTGCTATGAAATACATATTATCAAGAAAAGGTTTATAATTTTCTCTCTCCAAAAAAAAAGAGAAAGGTTTAAAATTCAACAAATTCGGTTTATTTTAACGCAGGTATAGTATGTAAAGCAAATATGTTCATCCGTAGTTACAGTGCCTCAATAAATATAGATAGAACCTGTCCATGCAGCTTGGAGCATCCGACTTAATATTCGCATTTACTGCTAATTACATATTGCAGTCTGTTAAATAGTGAACTGCATACAATAATTTCATCAATATCATTTTTTTATCCAATCTCTCGGTTATGCTATACCGATATTCAACAAAATCTGAGTCACTTTATTGGACCTTTAGATTCAAAGATTCCGAAATCACAGGTGATGATAAAAAATCTCAATGCTAATCAAGGGTCCACAAAATTAACCGAGAGTTTAAAAAAATCAGGCGCCTGATTCATTGGAAAAGGGAGCAAGTTGTGCTGTGAAGAGATGGTGGCGGCTACGTTGGACGGACTCAGCGTCAATCTCTCCGTCTGGATAGCAGTCACTTTTGTGCCGCTGCCGTATACAGATTTCCATATGGAAATGCAATCGTTTGTTCAGCACATGCATTGTCGCCTCTTTTGTCCAATGTATAACCTTATTCATCATTGGTGGAAACAGTTCAATGCGTACAGTTCACTGTTAAATTTTAATTTATAATTTTAGATACACATGGATCAAATGAACTTGTCGGTGATGAAGCAGGGGAAGGCCAGCCAGTGTGCATTATTGGTATCCATGTCGCCAGGCATGACTTTGACTGCATTCGTGCCGGCTCACGGATGCTAGTGCAGGGTTGACACATCTTCACCATCAGCTTTTCATCACTAACAACGGGAAAGAGGCAAAAAGAAGCTAGCGGCAGCACGCACAATCCACGATGAAGGTACTAGCTAGGTATTCCACGATATCTAACTTATACCATTATACCATTATACCATTATATGACCACTAAAATTAAAGAATACCATGAAACGGCCAGAGAACGGCTATGCACTGGATCCGTATTGCCTTCCATTCCTATTGCCAGCTTGTTCTGTAATATGGGAGATACAATCTATTAAACTCTCTCAGTGTGTGTTGGGTGGGGGTATGAAGGGCTGAGATGTTGTGGTGGACTAGTGGTATATAATGACACGCTCAAAGGCACACCATAGTTAAAGCAAACATATTTTAGACACAATCTGTATATTTGCGCAGCATATCTTTCTATTAACTTTTGCCTGCATAGCACATGCCTAATTTATTAAAAAATTTAGCAGCATTTTTTGTTTTGCAAACTCCATCTTACCCC